CATGTGTTGGTGAGGGAATGTGTTGGTGAGGGAATGTGTTGGTGAGGGAATGTGTTGGTGAGGGAATGTGTTGGTGAGGGAATGTGTTGGTGAGGGCATGTGTTGGTGAGGGAATGTGTTGGTGAGGGAATGTGTTGGTTAGGGAATGTGTTGGTGAGGGCATGTGTTGGTGAGGGAATGTGTTGGTGAGGGCATGTGTTGGTGAGAGAATGTGTTGGTTAGGGAATGTGTTGGTGAGGGAATGGCTGCAGTTATTCGGGAAAAATATGTTCGTTAAAAAAACATCAAGAAATTTGTAATATTTGTAGGACGTTTCATGATTTTGAAGGAAAAAAATTTTTGATGCAATTGAATTTCTGCCAGTAGAATATACGAACATTTAAACAAAAATATAATATTTTTAATATTTTAAACAAGTGGCTGATTTTTCAGTCATCTGATTATTCAATTGGTTTAAGGTGCAGTATTTAAATAATACTATAAGTTGAATATATCTTTAGGTCTTTTTTTTTCGACGTGAAGGCTGGTTAAGAGCGTCACGTTACAGACGTGCTCCGTTACAGACGTGCTCCGTTACAGACGTGTTACGTTACGTTACAGACGTGCTACGTTACAGACGTGTTACGTTACAGACGTGCTCCGTTACAGACGTGCTCCGTTAGAGACGTGTTACGTTACAGACGTGTTACGTTACAGACGTGTTACGTTACAGACGTGCTCNTTTTTCCATCCCGCAATATCATTTCATCCTCTCATCCCACAATCTTTTCTTTCACCCATCCCATAATATCTTCATTTTTCCCCATCCCGCACTAATTTCACCCTCCCATCCTATAATCTTTTCTACCCTCCATCCCATAATATTTTCTTTTTTTTCATCCCGCTATATAATTTCATCCTCACATCCAACAATCTTTTCTCTCTCCCATTCAATAATATCATCTTTTTTCCCCATCCCACACTAGCATCACCCTCCCATCCCGCAATCTTTTCTATCTTCCATCTCAAAATATTTTTTTCCATCCCGCAATATCATTTCATCCTCCCATCCTTCAATCTTTCTATTTTCCATCCCATAATATCCTCTTCTTTTCCCATCCCGCAATATAATTTCATCCTCCTATCCCATAATATTTTTCCTTCGTATCCTGCAATATTTTCAACCCTCTCATCCCACAATATCATTTCATCCTCCCATCCCTCAATTTTTTCTCTCACCCATCCTATAATATCCTCTTTTTTTACATCCCGCCCATCCCGCAATCTTTCCTGTCTTCCATCCCATCATATCCTCTTTTTTCCTCATCCCGCCTTATTTTCACCACGGACCGGCCTCGCTGCCTCCGCTTGCCTGCCTGGCGACAATACGAGCCTTGGGCGCCCCTCTCAGCCGCGCGGAAACAAGTCCGGCAAAACCGCCTAGACGCGGCCGGGGTGTTCAAGTAATCTTACTAAAACCATAAGGAAAAATAATAAATGTTTTAGCTTCAAAGTCGCAAATAATTCTTGATATTGAAATTATTTTTCATGCAATAGTTGCACGTAATTCATTTTATTGAAAATGTTTTTCTTACGATTTGGTAATTTAACGTGAAATTGCGTCAAGTGGAGATTTTTAGTAATCTTACTAAAACCTTAGAGAAAATAATAATTTTTTTAGCGTCAAGGTTGCAAATAATTCTTGATATTGAAGTTATTTTTCATAAAATGGTTGCGCGTAATTCATGTTATTGAAATTATTTTTCTCACAATCTTTTCGATTTTGACGTGAAATTGCGTCAAGTGGACGCAAAAGCTTTTATATAAACCTGTTCGCACGGAAATATATATAAAAAATACAGAAGATATATAGCATATATATAAACGATATACAATATAGAAGAAATATATATTTAATATATCTAATATGTATTGTAATAATTTGCATAGATGGCGTTCTAATAAATATAATAAAATTTAAAAAAATAACTGTCGAGGTTGCACGGGCCATAATTCTTATGGATTTTTGTCAATCCGATGGTGGAATTGTACTAAATTCTCGCCATCATAATTTCACAAAGAACATCATCATTTGTGTAGATAATGAGACGCTAGAATTAATCTACTTAGTTCCAAATAAATATTCGATGCTTTGTGAGATTTCGTAGTCCATTCACT